CATTCGTGTGTGCACTACTGAGTGTGCTGTTTACTAAATGCCTGCAAAGAGCTGCAGGTTTGGGGGAGGGTCCCAGAAGAGAAGGCTCTGCCACAGGTCTGGGCCACTGTGCAGGCTGCTCTGTCACTGGGGCCATGTGATCCAGCAGACCTTATGATACTTGAAGTGTCGAAGGCAGATGAAGCTTCACAAAGGCCCTGCACAATGGAGGAAGGAGATTGTGTCCAGAATATGAGAGGTCCCTTAGGGTGTCTTTAGTTCCGCTATGTCCTGTGATTAAAGGCAATGGAAAACTATAACAATCCAACTCAGGGAAGACTCCTAATGTCCCAGGACTTTCAGGAATAGAAGTCTGGGGGCTTCCCACAGGCAAAGAGGCACAACCAGCTCTGAGGTGTATGCAGAGGGTAAAGGAAATACAGAGTGAGTCGTGGAAGAAGGGAGGTATAAACACCAGCTACAATCAAAGGGCCAGAATTAGAAATGAGAGCCATGAGCATTTATCCTTGTTATGAATGTATTTGAATGTGCATATACTGTCTTTTTCTTGTTATCTCATCATCAAATATAAAGTATGTCAATAATAGCTAACTTTACATCACACACACTACTGGAAAAGTGAACATTACCCAAGAACTTTGAATCCTCTTCTGGGAAGTCAGACATTTTCAGTTGTACACAGGGTAACTTTCATGACAGGCATGTGAGCGTGTTATCAACTTTATTTGGAGATTAGGTGTGGCTTAAGAAAATGTGTGTGTCAAGTGGACATCGACTGTGATGGCCAGTTTTATGTCAGGTTGGCTGGGACCAAGAACCTACTTTAAAAAGGGACTCTAGAGGCCGGGGATTTAGCTTAGTGGTTCTGCCACCTGTCTCACAAGCTCAAGGACCCAAGTTCCATCCCCAATACCCACTCCACCAAGAAAAGAGACTCTAGATGTTGCTGTGAGGTATTTTGTAGATGTAGCTTATTTGCAGTCGGTTAACTTTACACAAAGGATAGCATGGGATAACACGGGTTGGCCTGATCTGCCAGTCGAAAGGCTTGCGGTTTCCCTGAAGAAATTCCACCATGCACACTACATTGTTAGCTCCTGCCTGAGTTTCCAGCTTTCCCTCCTCACAGCCTGTCCTGGCTGAACTTGCCTAGCCAGCCCCAACTGCATAATCCAATTCCTTGTGATAGAAAGAAGATAGAGCTAGATGACAGATAACAGAAATCTTACTATTTCCTGAGTAGAATTTTCATACACAAATTAAACCAAGTTGTACATTCCAATTTCCCAAACATCCATTTGACCTTAAGTAATTTCCTTCCCTATTGTGTATACAATTAGGCAGGGCTGGCGAAGACTATTCTTTTCCCCAAGCTTTATTAGACACCCTGATAATCAATAACTTCATTTTAATCATTATCCCTTTCCAATTTCAAGTATTTTCAAATATATGATGTCATTTTACCCTCATGACCCCGCTTTAGAAAGGCAGGTGTTGTCTCTATTTTACAGATAATAGAATTGAGAGGTAAAGCAACTTGTCCAGGTTCATACTGTGGGTAAGTGTTGGAGCTGAGACTCAGTCCTGGGCCATGATTCTAGGTCCTGTATTCCACTCACAACATCTAAGGCAGTAGTGGCCAGAAGCCCCACCACAAATGGTACACTCCTTTGTTTGGACAAAATGAGGGAACATTGTGGGTTCCCTTTTATCTGATCTTCCCTACACTCTCACACGGCAGTCTGTGGACATCAGTGAGGACACCAAGTCCACATACAGCAACAAAGACAGTCACAGTACACTTGACCTCTTCAACAGGTGCTAAGGAGGCTGTGCCTTCAGTTGAGGGGAGTCTGCTCTCCAAAGACCAGGAAACGCATTATCCCTCTCCTAAATCCTAACAGAAGAAAGAGCAACTACAGGAGTGAGGACAGATTCCCTCACCCCCACTCTTGCCAAAGCAGAGCCCCAGGGAAGGGAACGTGAGTGCAACCAAGGATTCACTACTCAACTCAGAGCTCAGTGCGCATCTGAAGGAGTGTCAGGGCGGTCCCTGCTGTCCAACCCAGTTAAAATCTTTCTGGTCACAGGGCTGAGCTCTGGCAATGCTACTTGTGTGGGTTTTGGCAAGTCACTAACCCTCTCTAGTTTGTTTCATCCCAAAATGTGGCTAATGACTGAGATTGAGCCTAGAGAGGTGTTCGAGACATAAATGAGCTGGAATCCCTTAGTACTGTTTCTTAGGAACACACAGTATTATTCTTCCACAGCCAAGACTTGAACACACTTGGGTAGCTACCCTCTCAGTTTTCCAGGCAGCAGGACACACACAGGGCTTGAACAGCAAGAGAAACCAAGACAGGACATCAGTCTCTTCAGGAAAGGCCGGGCACCCCCGGCCCCTGGGGCAAAGGGGTCTTATTTCATTTAATTAGTTGTTAGTTATCAAGCACTTCCTACAAAATAAGCACTGCTCTGTGTGCTTGCAAATAAAGCAATTGAGAAAAGAGAAAATGAGCTCATGGAGCTTATATTCTAGTTGTGGGAGGACAAGTAAACAAATACGTAGGCACTGTTGGCAGGTGTCTGAGGAATTAAAGTGGGGAAAGTTAACAGTGATGGGGAGAGATGTCAGGAGAGGGCCTCTTTGGGAAAACGATGTTTGAGCAGACACTAAAGAAGTGAGGAAATACATTAGGGAACAGGCACACCTCAGAGTCAGGCTAAGGCCACCAGGGTTCAGGTAAGAGACCAACAGCACTGTGACAACAGGGACAATTCCCTCTCCTGCTGGTTATGCAGCCTTCTATTGCAGGGAGGGAGGGGCTGACCCCTACAGACTGCATCCCCAGGTCAGCCTTGTCCCAGCTTTTGGTTGTGGTCAGCCACACGAAGACCCCAGATTAAAGAATAGAGAACAAAGGGGAGACAGTGATACTCCCACTCCGTTTGTGCCACAGTTGAGTGGCTGCTTTCTCCTGTGGGAATTCCACAATTCCAATCTCCCTTTCCAGCCCCTTCCATGGCCCATCCTCATGTCCTTCCCTCCTAGAACCCCACGAAGAGAAATTCCTGCAGAATTAGCTTCCCTCATGAGCACTGTGCACTTGTCCACACAACACCGAACTACCTCCTGTATTAGGTCAGAAAGTGCATGAGTTTTGGCCCTAGAGTTCCATCATCCCAGGTAAAATATGAACTATGTCCTCACCTCCCCCTAAGGCTCTGGTTCTGCCAAATTATTCACCTACGTCCAAAGCTGGCTCTACAGTCCCTTGTCTTTTTTTTTTTTTTGTACCAGGGATCAAACTCGGGACCTTGAGCTTGTGAGGCAGGGGTGGCACCACTGAGCTAAATCTTGGCCCTACAGTCCCTTATTTGAATCACTTAAGACCTCACTACCTTAGAAACAGAACCTTCTCCCCAGTCCCAGCCAACTCCCAGCTGAAGACATCCTGTCTCCCTACCTTCCATTCGCAATAGCTCACTGCCAAGTTTACTCCCTTGATAACCCATTTATCACTTTTGGGGAAAAAAATATAATATCAACACCACTCCACCTATCAAAATACATATTCCACAGAACAGGACTTTCCTGTCTCATTCTTTGTGAACAGCATCTAGGCCCAAGCACACAAGAACTCATGTTTTTGAGTGAATAAGTAACGAAGTACATCAGGTTCCTCAGCCACCTCCACCAGGACCATGGCCAGCGAGCCCAGTGAGGGCTTACACTCCCAGAAGCGGGTGCTCAGAGTCCTGGTCCTGCTGACTTTTCCCGGTGTGGGGATAGAAACCCCCACATAGAACAAGTAGGATAACCTCAAAAAGACAAAGAATCATTTTCAATCCATTCAGCAGTTCCAGATTTTCCATTTCTGAATACAGCGGAACTTGGTTAACAGTGACAGTCTCTAGGAACAGGGAAGCCTAGAAGAGGGAAGAGGGTTACGAACTTTGACCAAAGGTTCTACGAAGCCCAGCTCAGGCAGGTCTAGTACAGCAGCATCTACTACTCCAAAGCTGCCTGGGGCTTACCTGGCCATCCTCACCAAGGCAGGTAGGACCCAGGAACCCTTGTGGGTGAGTGCTATTAATTCTGCCTGGGCCCTACAATTAAATCCTGCTTCAAGCCAACTGGTTACCTCTTGCTAGAACTGTCAATTCCCATCCACTCCATCCTAGACACCCCACCACTCCCACCGTGTGACACCACTGTCACCAGGACAACTCTTTAGCCCCAAAGAAATCCAAACAGCTGAGGTGCATCAATCAACCTTTAATGTCCAAAAGAGGCATGGATGCAGAGCATAGGGGGTGTGGCAGGGTCTCAGCCCCTGCTCCAGAAATGAGGGAGATGAACACAAACCAGACACTTTCAACTGGCCACACAAAGTCTGGGAAGGCAGGGGGAAACACAGATTTGGACATTCATAAAAAAATAAAACCTAAAATCAAACAGTCTTATACTCACTGAAGGGTTTTATACAGAGAGCTCAGTCCCTGCCCGTTTCAACCCTCCCTATCAGCACTGAAAAGAAAGCTCACCACATACTAAGGGCTTGGGGAGGGAACAGTCTCCTTTCTCCCACCAGCCCCAAGGATGGACCAGGGGAAAAAAAAAAAAAAA